CCCTCTGAGACTAGAGAACGACCCCAAAGCACAAGGTCCTATGAGCACTTTCAGGGTTTACAGACCCCTTAAAACAATGTCTGGGCCAGCCCACACAGCAGCAGCCACGCCAAGCCCACGTGACTCTGCACCGGCCGCTGAGCCTCTCTGGATGTTTCTGGTCTGCAGCATGGGGCACCTTGTGTATGTATACTTCTAAACACACAGATACACACACTCTGTCTCGCATGAGAAGCTAGATTCTGCCTGCTGAAAGCTAAAATCCTTCCCAGGGGAACAGCTTAGGGCAAGGCCAGGAGGCTGGCCAAAGAACAACGAGACCCCCAGGGAACCGGAACCGGAGAGAGAGCATCAAGCCCCGCCCCCCAATCCACCACTCCCAAAGGCAAATGCCCTTTAGGGCCCTGCTGGGCCTGTGATGATTAAGGGACTGCAGCCCTTAGAAACAGACAAACAGAACAGACAGAAGCACAGCCAAGGTGACAGGTGAGAACCCCGTCAACTGTGCCAGGGAGTCCCCACCATCATTCTGTCCCTTTCACTGTTGGTAAAACTGAGGCCGGCCCAAGGTCATAGGTTGCTTGTTCCCCAGCTCCCAGCACAGTGCGTTGCTCACCACCTGAGACACCGAGGTCATCAGGCCTCCGTCTTCTGCTCTGTACAGTGTGGAGGGTGACCCCTCACCATCTGATCTGGCCTGGACCTCGGCAGGGGGAGGGGGTCCTCCATCCCCCTCTGTCTTCCCCGAACCAGAGGAGGTCTGTGCCTCCTGTCAGCCCATTAGTCTGGAGCGTGCTGCCTCACGTGGCTGCCATTAGCGAGCGTTGGCCTGTGTTAAGGATCTGAGCCTGGGGAGGAGGCGCAGCGGGATGGGGATGGCGGGGGAGAGGGGGATGGAAGGAGTCGGGGAGGATGGGGAAGCCATCCACTGACTCTGGGACTGGGAGCTCCAGCATCCTCCCCTTCACGTGGTCCCCACCACACGGGGTCGTTGTGAGCACACCAGGAGCTGCCATGAGAGCCTGGCGCAATCAGATCTTGAGGGGGTCACTGCTGGGGGCCCCTGAGCCCCCCCTTTGCTGCCCTGCTCAGCCTGCCCAGAAGTCCCAGAATACAGCACCCTTGTGCATCCTCTGCCATGCGACGATCTTCTCTCAGAAGATCTGCACGCTCTGGGTTGGGCTCTCAAAGCCATGCTCAGGCTGCAGAGTCTGCGATCCTGGGGTAAAGTCCCAGCCTGCTCTGTTCTCTCCTCAGAGATCCGAGAGGCCTTCAAGGTGTTCGACCGTGACGGCAATGGCTTCATCTCCAAGCAGGAGCTGGGCACGGCCATGCGTTCACTGGGCTACATGCCCAACGAGGTAGAACTGGAGGTCATCATCCAGCGGCTGGACATGGATGGTGAGAGTCCCCTACCTTGGTTTCCCCACCTGGCACCTGGGCCCCAGGAGTGGGGCAGGGGCTGGGCCCCGAGCCACTGAGGCTGCATCCAAATTGGGCTTCTCACTCTGCTGACCCCCCACCCTCAAAGCCCAAGGCGGTTTGCAGCCTGGTCTGGCCCCATTTCTCAGCCCGGAGAATTGAGGCCAGAGAGGTGGTGGCAGTCCCAGCTGCATGCAGGGCTCAGAGATGGCTCTTCTCACTCTGTGTTGATAAGTTGTGTTTTTTTTTTTTTGGAGACGAAATCTCACTCTTGTCCCCCAGGCTGGAGTGCAAGGCATGATTTCAGCTCACTGCAACCTCCGCCTCCTGGGTTCAAGCCATTCTCCTCCCTCAGCCTCCGTGGAGCTGGGATTACAGGCGCCTGCCATCATGCTGGCTAACTTTTGCTTTTTTTTTTTTTTTTTTTTTTTTTTGAGACAGTCTCGCTCTGTCACCCAGGCTGGAGTGCAGTGGCACGATTGGCTCACTGCAACCTCCACCTCCTGGGTTCAAGCGATTCTCCTGCCTCAGCCTTCTGAGTAGCTTCGATTACGGGCACCCGCCACCACGCCCGGCTAATTTTTGTATTTTTAGTAGAGACGGGGTTTCACCATATTGGTCAGGCTGGTCTCGAACTCCTGACCTCATGATCCGCCTGCCTCGGCCTCCCAAGTGCAGGATTACAGGCGTGAGCCACTGTGCTCAGCTGAGAAGTTTTAAAGTACAGAAAAGTAAAAGGATGCAATAAATACTCCAGTTCCCACCACCTGAGAGAAAATCGCTACTTTGCTTGTGTTTGCCACCTGGCATTTATTAAGGGATAGTTCATAGGAAGAAATGGTAATGCCAAGCCCCTGTGCCCTTCGTTTCCTATTCTCCATCCAGACACCAGGTAACAACCTGGGCAGGTTGCCCACTCTGAGCTCCAGTTCCTGTCTGTATGGTGGAGAGTGTAGGGCTCTACACCCACCCCAGGACGGCCACAGGGTGCTTGGAGCAATGGAGGGTTCTGGGAGAAATAGGAAAGTCATGGCCCACCTGCTGTCTACCTCCACCTCCCCTCGTATGCCCTCATCGTACTGGGTGGCTTCGGCATCAGCCCAGAGCCTGGCACTTGGTAGATGCCCCTGACACTGACTCAAGTCTCAGAGGGGGTCACCTGCCTGAGGTCATCCAAGAGGCCCAAGGTATATCAGGACTCCATCCCAGGTCCTCTGGGGCCTGGGCTGTGAGCCTGGGCCTGACCCACTGATGGGCCCTGTGCCTCCTGCAGGTGATGGTCAAGTGGACTTTGAGGAGTTTGTGACCCTCCTGGGACCCAAACTCTCCACTTCAGGGATCCCAGAGAAGTTCCATGGCACTGACTTTGACACTGTCTTCTGGAAGGTATGCCCTGGCTAGTTGGGACCCAGGGCTGTGCGCACTGTGGAGTGCTGTTCTGGGGCCACTGAATGGCTGGGCCCACACTGTAAACGGGGGATGACCACTCCAGGCTTGTGTCCACTGGACAGTTCATCTCCAGAGGGCCATGGGCTCCCTAGGGAGGCTGGTGTTGGTCAAGGACTCTCTGGGGGAATGGAGCAAGTGTTTTCCAGCCCCCTACCCCTGAATCTGGAGGCCGGTCATTGGGCCCCTGTGGCCTCAGGGTGCTGGGTGGGGACCGTGGCGGCTGTCAGACCACTGTGCTTTCCCCCTCTGCAAGTGCGACATGCAGAAGCTGACGGTGGATGAGCTGAAGCGGCTGCTCTACGACACCTTCTGCGAGCACCTGTCCATGAAGGACATTGAGAACATCATCATGACGGAGGAGGAGAGCCACCTGGGCCCAGCTGAGGAGTGCCCCGTGGACGTGGAGAGTGAGTGGCCGTGGAACCCCATGGGTGGGCTCAACAGCTTGACCAGAGGGATGAGTGGGGGGTCTGTAGGCAGAGGGGGGCTGGGTGCCTCCTTGCTGGTTCTGAGCCTCTGTCCCAGTGGGGCACCCCTGGGATGAGCCCATGTGCCGAAGGGCAGGTGGCTCCTGACTCCATCGCCTCGATGTCCACTTCTGTTTCCCTGGTGCCCCCTGGGTGGCCACAGCCTGCTCCAACCAGCAGATCCGCCAAACGTGCGTGCGCAAGAGTCTCATCTGCGCCTTTGCCATCGCCTTCATCATCAGCGTCATGCTCATTGCGGCCAACCAGGTGCTGCGCAGTGGCATGAAGTAGGCGCCACCTGGACGCCCCAGCCACTGCATGTGGTGCCCGAGGCCCACCCCACACCACCACCGCCTGCAGCCCCTCCCTTGGCCAGCTCCCTGGGCTGCCACCTGTGTGTACTTCAGGGCCTGGGTATCTGGCGAGCCCTCCCCACCCACCCCATGGGCCTCACCTGGAGCCGTGGCCTGGCTGTGGAGGGCCTGGTGGTGGCTCTGTGGATGGCCCTGGCGCCACCCTGTCCCTACCCTGGCCTGTATGGAGTACTCACTCTTCCTACCGTCCAGGGGCTCCTGGGAAATTGAGGAGGAATTTTCACAGGAACCCCCAGGACCCAGTTGCTGCTGTGGTCCCTTGGGTAGGAGGGGGCACCCTGTGCCTGGAGATGGTGGCCTATCTGGGGCCACACAGCCAACCCGGCCCTGGTCCCTGAGGCCTGCTTGGGCACTAGGAAGTGTGGGGGCAGAAAGCCTCCTGGGGGAGGGTGGGAAGCCAGGGTGTCCTGGGCCCTGCTGCCTGGCATGGCCTGAGGAGGCCCCTGGTCTTCTCCTGGGTCCCTTCCTCCGACCTGTGTTAGACCCTAGCCCAGCCCCTCTTCATGTACCTGCTGGGCCAGCCCATTTCACAGGTGAGGAACCTGAGGCTCCAGAGCCCGAGACTTGGCCTCAGTTCCTCCTTCCACAGGGATTTTCAGGAAAGGCAGAAGCTCGTGGAAGATGGGTATCTGAGGTGGCCCTGCAGCCCCCTACTTTCTGGCCCTCCCACCAGAGGCCCAGCAACCAAGGCCACTCATCCACCACCCCAGCCTAGAGCCTAGAACTGTAGTCTAGCTGAGGAAGGAGGCAAAGCAGGGGCCTGAAGGCTCTGAACAGCCTCCACCAGGGGGCTTGTCCAGGGCTGACCCTTGGGAGGGCTCTATACTACCTCCTGGGCCAAGAAACTGGCACAGCCCCGCACTGTCGGTGCCAAGAGGCTGCGCCAGGCCACTCTCCCAGCCCATGGCCTGCCCTCCTGCGTCCTCCCACTTCTCTGTGCCCTCCAGGCGGGAGACCCTGCTCCCATGCCCCAGCTGTGTCATCCCAAACACTTGGGCACCAGCTCAGCATGGCAGACACGGGGGCTGTGGATTCTTCCAGGGCTGGGATGACAGGCAGAGTCCATTGGCTCCTCAGGCCTAGAGTCACTTCTTACCAGGCAACGGGCACAGCCACCCTGGCACACCCTCTCCCTGGCTGTGCTGAGCCTCTGCTGGTCCCAAGGGAGAAGGGAGTGAGCGTGGGTCACCTGAGGAGACTCTCATCTCATCTCCACCCTGCCTGACCTCTGCCAGGGGCTGGAGAACAGAGCTCAGAGCACCCGGCGTTGGGAAGCATAGCCAGACCATCGTGGTGACAGATTTTCTTTATAAACATCTAGAAGTTTTCTCCCTCAGCTTCTTAAGAAGGAAGGAGGGGGGTGGCTGGAAGAGAGTGAGTCGGGGGCTCCCTGGCATAGACCCAGGACCAGGGCTGGATTTGGCATGGGCACGTCCTGAGCCTGTGAGGCCAGGCCGATGGTCTCAGAGCCTCCGTGGGGCATAGCAGGAACAGGGCTTGGCTTCCTATTGTGACTGATGAGAAGTAAGCACGTGGGGGTCAGTTGGGGGCGAGGGGCTCAGCCCCATTGGACTCTGGGCTGCAGGGGCCAACCCCCTGGTGGGGGTGCCCGCAGGGATGGGGGCAGCTCCTGGACTGGTGGCCAGCCCACAGGGTACTGAAAGACAGTAGTTCTGATGGGTTCAGCCCTAGAGAGAGAGAGAAGGGTGGAGAATTAGAGTCAGGTACTGCCTAGACTTATGCCACCTGCCACCCCCAGCCCACCTGCCTCGCCACCCTGGCTGTGGGAAGGGTCAGCTGCCTGCACGACTTTTCTGGAAGACAGAGCCTCGAAAACATGCAGACCCTTTGAGCCAGCAACCTCGCTTCTAGGAACTGAGACCAAGGAAATAGTGGGGTTGTGGGCAGACACAGCCATGGGGACAGCCGTAAGACAATGGAAATAAGCTTCGTGTCCACCTGTAGGGGACTGATTAAATACATATGCACGTCCACAGCAGAGAATGCTATGCAGCCTGTGTAAGAATGGAGGCAGACTTATATGCACTGATGAGAAACATACTGTGTGAGTAGGGAGAGAAAGCAGCTTATAAAATAATGTATATAGCATGATACTATTTTTGTTTAAAAATATATAAAATATATAAATGCATAAAAAAATCCTGGAAGACACAGCAAAATGTTAACAGTGGTTCTATCTGAGTGGTGCCATGGCGGGTGACATTTTTACTTCTTTATACTTCTCAAAAGTTTTACAAGCACACAAGCCTTTGAAATCAGAAAAAAATCGTGTCTAAAATTTTTTTAAAAAGCCTCATTTCTCATGCTACTCACTCTCCTCTTCCTCAATGTCCACCCTGAGCCACCTCCCCTGGAACTCAAGGTCCATTTAAGTACTTGCCCTAGGAGAGGCATCCTCCGTGCCCAGCCCGGGGCACCCTGCCAAGGCCCAGCAGTGGCCCCTCCATTCTTCTACCTGGATCCTTCTGGACTTGGGGCCCACCCAGGCTGCTTCTCTGGGGCCACAGGGCCCCGCTCAGGCTTCAAAGCACTTTGAACTCCCATCACCCCAGCTGCTTATACACAACCTTTCTGGAAGGCAGAGCCTCGAAAACATGCAGACCCTTTGAGCCAGCAACCTCACCTCTGGGAACTGAGCCCAAGGAAAAAGCAGGGTTGTGGCAGAAACAGTTACAGTAATAACTTCGAGACAGTGGAAATAACCTTCGTGCCCACCTGTGGGGGACTGATGGAGTACATGTGCACGTGCTCAGCAGAGAGTGCAATGCAGCTGCCATCGACATTCAGGCAGGAGCTCATCTGTCTCCTGCACACGACTGGTGTCCTCAGAGGACGTAGACCAGGGGGTAGGGGTAGGGTGTATCTGTACCCCAATGCTCAGGGCCAGGCCTGGTGCCAGGAGGCCACCCAGTGACTGTGGAATGACCAACAGCAATGCTGAAAGATCTTACTGACCAGGCACTATTCCGGGCCACAAACCATGAGCCAGAGAAACCTTAAGAATCCTCAGGTGGTTCAACCTGAGGAAAAAAAAAAAAGAATCCTCAGGTGGGCTTGGCATGGTGGCTCACGCCTATAATCCCAGCACTTTGGGAGGCCGAGATGGGCTGATCACCTGAGGTCGGGAGTTCGAGACCAGCCTGACCAACATGGTAAAACCCCATCTCTACTAAAAATACAAAATTAGCCGGGCATGGTGGCGCATGCCTGTCAGTAATCCCAGCTACTTGGGAGACTGAAGCAGGTGAGTTGCTTGAACCCCGGAAGTGAGGTTGTGGTGAGCTGAGATTGCGCCATTGCACTCCAGCCTGGGTAACAAGAGTGAAACTCCATCTCCAAAACCAAAAAAATCCTCAGGTGAACCCCATTTTATAAGTGAGGAAACTGAAGTACAAGGAGTCAGTCACGTGACCAAGTGACACCGTTGGGATGAGGCCTGAGGGCCTGGAATGCAAGCTGCACATCGGCTGCAGACACTGCCCTCCCACTTCAGCTCCCTCTGTTCCGGCACACCTCCATACCCCAACACCCAGCCTTCAGGCAAGGTGAGGCCCTGGCAGCTCCCAGCAGGCTCAGGGGCCCAGTGGCCAGCCCTCTGCAGAGAGAGAAGGGCTTGCCTGCCGAGAGAGGTTTGGAGAGGCCTCTGACCTCCGAGGGGGAGGCGGGGAGCCAGGGTCAGGAGCCCTGGGAGTTTCCCCCGCTACACCCACCCAGCCAGCCCCTCTCTGCCAGACCTGCCATGTAGAGTCACTGCCACTACCACAGCTGCACGGAGCCCTGGGTGCAGTCTCCAGGACCCCCAGGTGTGAGAGGACAGGGACATCCCCTGCTTCGTGGCTCGCTGCCTGCTAGAAAGCACAGAAGGCAGCTCTTGACATGATTTATGGCACTGGGGAGATTTCATAAACTCCGCCAGCCGCAGAGAAGGCGGGGATGCTCCGCAGTTGCCGGAAGGGAGTGCCCCAGCTGCCAGCCAAGCCTGGGCTCCCTGCAGGGCCACAGGGACAGTGGGGATCCCCCCTGGGAGGGTATGATCCTGGGGAGCCCCTTGCCGTGAGCCTCAGGCCCTTCCTCTAGAAAATGGGGCAGATTCCCAGGAAGCTGGGACCTCCTGGGTCCAAGCCTCAGCACCGTGTCCCTGCCTGCCCTGAGGTCCCTGCCAGTAGATGTGCATACCCCGCGCCTGATCACACACACTGGCACATTGCCAGGGCACCAGACACGTGAGTCGAAGCCTTGGGGACACTGAGGTGCGTGTCTGGCACCACTCTGCTTGTAGCTTCTCTGGTGACCTGTTTGTCCTATGTGTGAGGATGGGAGCCACTCTGACATTTCCCCAGCCACGGTCCTCATCAGAGGAAATAGAGGCGAGGAGGGAGGATGGGCCAGGATGGCAGCGCCAGCCCTGACAGGGGTGCAAAGGAGAGATTAAGAGGGAGAGAGCTGCAATCTGAAGAGCCAACAATGGACAGCGGGGCCAGGCCTGGCCTCGCCGGGGGATTCGTCTGTGTGTCTGAGGCCGCCGCTGCTCTTGGCAGATCCTCAGGGTCAGTCTGCGGAGGGGGATAAGCCCAAGCTCCAGGCTGGGGCTTCATGGAACCTCCGCTTCCCTACGTTTACAAGGAGGGCCCCTATGTTCACCGGGGAGGCTCTGCTCAGCCAGCGGGGGTTGGAGCCTGCAGGGTTGCCCCAGGTGTGGTGGGCAGCCTGCTGTGCCCTGTGCCCTGGAGGAGGAAATCCTAAGAGGAAGAGGGGGTCCCCCAGGCTTCCAGACCAGTCCCCACAAGAGGCTGGCGACATTAACACCTGGGGAGCGCCCGATAGCCTGAATGCTCATTCATGCAGTCAAACTGTCCTGGGCCCCCCAAGTCTGCCCAGGCCATGCGGGAGAAGGGGGGCTGGGAGGGATGATGTCTCAGCTAGAGCTCCCAGGACAAGCCTGACTCTGCCAGGCGGAGAGGTGGGAGGCAGTTTCAGGTAAGAAAACAGCACACACCAGGTGCCCTGACATCACAAATGATGCCGCATCTAAGAAGCGGCCGAGCATCTAGTGGGACCAATAGTCAGGCCAGAGGCAAGAGGTGAGAAGGTGACCCCATCGGCTGACCCCAACGGCTGCTGTGGAGGCAGCAGGGAGGGTGACCGGCCCACAGCCCCGCAAATGGGGCTGTGGAGCCAGGGGTGGAGGACGCACCAGGGCCAAGGCTGCTGTGTGGAGGATCCCCTAAGGGAGCAGACGGAAGGTGGGAAAGCAGGGAGGGGACATGGATGGCCCCACCTGCTGGTGAGGTTACAATTCCTCAGCTGCAGAATGGGGTCGCCAGTCTCCCTGAATGCCCTCAAGCACTGGGCACAGTGTAAGCACCAAACAAACTCAATTCTCGTGTGGTCGCCACTTCAACCTGTGACTGGGGGCCAGTCATTCAGCCTCAGTTTCCCCATCTTGTCCCCTAGTCCCCCAAGTCTCAAATTCATAGCGTCTTGTGTCAGCGTGGGGATGCATCTGTCTGGAACCCAGCCAAGGACTCTGGGGCACCTCGTCTCTACCCCATCCACTGGCACTCACTCCAGTTCAGCTGCAGGGACTCCATGAAACCTTGTCACAGCCCCAAGAGACAACCGGGCCTCTGTGACTCGCTCCCAGCAGAGTACACCATGGAATCAGGGCAGGGAGATGAGTGGCTGGTGTTAGCCCGTTAGCAGGTGGCAGAGCAAGGATGGGACCCATAGGGAGCCCTGTTCAAGTAGTGGCGCAGGGACCAGAACTTTCTGGGCAGCCTCCAGCCAGCCCAAGCCTCTTGCACACAGGCTGAGGGAGTCTAGGGAATAGGACTTGGATCCCTGGACAGCAGCCAGTCCCAAGGGAGGTACCTACATGCCCAAAGACAGGATAGGACCCCTGTAGATGGGATCGTTCAGACAGGACCAGGAGGAGAGGACGTCACACTCCAACATTTGAGTCATGGCTGTCCCATATATACTTTAAAGGTGGGGAGACAAAAACTGGGCACGGATTTAAAATAAAGGTAAAAGACAAAGTTAAGTTTAAAACACCTCTACTGGCTGGGTGTGGTGGCTCATGCCTATAATCCCAGCACCTTGCGAGGCTGAGGCAGGTGGATCACTTGAGATCAGAAATTGGAGACCAGCCTGGCCAACACAGCGAAACCCTGTGTTTACTAAAAATACAAAAGCCAGCTGGGCATGGTGGTATGTGCCTGTAATCCCAGCTACTTGGAAGGCTGAGGCGCGAGAATTGCTTGAACCCAGGAGACAGAGGGTGCAGTGAGCCGAGATCACGCCACTACACTCCAGCCTGGGTGACAGAGCAAGACTCTCAAAAAACAAAACAAAACAAAAAAACCCCAAAACACTCTCACAGTCTCTTTTCACGGGACACAGGGAAGGCAAGAAGCTTGGCCTTCACCTCCTGGCAGAGCCCCGAGGGAAGGCCTCACCCCACAGACTGGCCAGGTCCCCTCAGCCCCTACTAGGCCACTGTCCTGCAAAGCCAAACCACAGAAGTAGTCAGGTCTGATGCTCCGTTGCAAGATGGGGAAAGCAAGGCGGCCGGGGCTGGGGAAATGTGTTAAAGTCGCACGCTGCCCCTGGGCACAGATTTACCCCCTTTCCCCACCCACCTCGCCTCCTTTAATCCCTAAAGGAAGAGCCCAGGAGCCCGCGCTTTGGTTTTGGCCGTGATGCCAAGCAGCCTTCGTCTCCCCGCGTCTGTCCCATGCCCTGTTCTGCTAATGGGAATTATCACTTGAGTCCCTTCCCTCAAAGAGAAAGACCAGGGACAGCATAAAGCACATACCCCAAGAACCCGACCCAGAAGCGTCTCTTCTACTTCCAAGCATCCCGAGGGCTGGGGCCACCCCCCCACCCACTTCCTTAAAAAGGCAGTGGGATCAGGACCTTGTCTTCATACCCTATGCAATTCCGGCTCTATGGTTTTCTAGCTGTGTGCCATTGAGAAAGTCACACCCCTCCCTCATGAGCCTGTTTTCCCTGCTGGTGACCACAGCCCAATGGACTTGGTGACGTACAGCCAAATCAGCTGGGCTGCCTGCCTCACCTCCAACCAGCACAGACTCTCACAGGGACCAATCCTTGGGGGAGGCTTCTTCAAACACCCCTCAGCCTCTGGCCAGGGCCTGGGGCCCCAAGAGCCCCCAGCATGGCCCCTCAGGGGCTCTGTGGGGGCATCTTTATTCAGCTGCTGGGCCGGGGCAGTTCATGGAGATTCCTGAGCATCAGGAAGGGGCAGGTGGGCTGGGGTCTTGCCCCCGAGGGCACAGAGGGAGGGGACGCTGGGGACAGGTACCTGCTACTCGGAGCTGAGCTCAGCCGCTTGGCTCTCTTCTCCAGCCAGTCCTCCAGATGGCCCTCGGGGAGCTCGGGAGCATCTAGCAGCCACTCCCTGGCTCGCCTCTCCTCTGTGGGGACAGGGAGACAAAGGCAAGTGAAGGGTACACTCCTGCCTGCCAGAACCCCACCCTCCCACAATGCAGAAGGAACTGGTAGGCCCTGAGCAAGCCCTGGGAAGTTGCAGCAACCCTCCAGGAGGACACACCTGGACCACTTCTCCAGGCTGCCTGTGCACAAGGGCCCAGCACTCAGCCTTACTCTGTTTTCCCATCAAATGGAGACAACCCCGGCTGCTTCCCAAGCTCTTGGGGAGCTAGAAACAGGACAGTGCATATAGAGAGCCTGGCCCTGGCTGGGCGTGGTGACTCATGCCTATAATCCGAACACTTTGTGAGGCTGAGGGGATTGCTTGAATCCAGGAGTTTGAGGCCAGCCTTGCCGACATACCCTGTCTCTACTAAAAATACAGAAATTAGCCAGGCATGGTGATGGGTGCCTGTAATCCCAGCTACTTGGGAGACTGAGGCAGGAAAATCACTTGAACCCAGGAGGTGGAGGCTGCAGTGAGCCAAGATCTCATCATTGCACTCCAGCCTGGGTAACAAGAGTGAAAATCTGCCTCAAAAAACAAAACAAACAAACAAACAAAACAGAGAAAGGCTAGCCCTAAGGAGGGGTCTGAATCTGGGGTGCAGGGAGGCAGCAAGGGCAGTTGAATGCAGTCAAATATCAGTTCTGTCACCTGCCAGGTCTCTGACCCTGGGCAGGATAATGAGCCTCAGTTTCCCTGGTTTTTCTTCTCATAAGATGGCCAACAAAACCTATTGCTCAAAGAAGTAAAACCAATCAACGAATGGAATTCATACAAGCTGGGTGTGAGCGTTTGGTGGGGTCAGAGTCGCCAGTCATCTGGGATGGGACCTTGGGCCAGAGGAAAATCATCATACACGTGATCAGCGCTCACTCAGGGCCGGGGCCTGGTCTCTGGAGCCCACTAGGGGCTGGGGCCTAGTCTCCAGAACCCACTTGGGACCGGGGCCTGGTCTCTGGAGCCCACTCAGGGCGGGGCCCTGGGCTGCACAGGTGTCATCTTGCTTCATTCTTAGAGGCATCACATTTGACAGGGCAGGACACAGCCTCCAAGAGGTTAGGCCATGAACCAAGGTTACAGGGGATGTGGCAGAGCCAGGACTGAAGCTGCCAGCTAGGACTCTGTTCCCAGCCCCTCTGGTCCCCACTCAGCATCGTCTCCATCCCTGTCCCCACTCGGCATTGTCTCCAGCTCCAGGCCTACTGCCCTGTCCTCATCTCTCCACAGGCCAGCCGTCCCATGAGAGCCCATGGCCAGGGAAGAGCTGGAGCTGCCGCTGCTGGCAGGACTTAGTGGCTGGTCCCACAAGGCCTTGCTTCCACCCTGGGAAGAAAAGCTCCTGGAAACCCTGTGTTGGTGCCAGGGCTGCAGCCACAGCACCACTGGCTCCCCAGGGCAGGGCACGGAGCCCGCAGTGTCTAACTGGTCAGAGGGGAGCGAGGCCCACAAGGGGATCAGGGCAAAGGCCAAGCTGCCCCAGACCCTCACTGGCTACCCTGAGGCTTCCTGGACAGAGAAGCATGGCGAGTGGGAGTCGGGGGCACTGAGAGACCTGGAGTCTGCCTCTAACCTGCTGGGGGGCTCATGTGAGGCCCTTCTGCCTGAATGCTGGCCTTAGTTTTCCCACCTGTTCAATGAGAGGCTGTGGAGGAAGACTGATAAAGACCATCTCAGTCAGAACTTCTTGCTCTCTAACTGGAGGAGTGAATTTTGCAAAGGCAAAATGTCAGTTTCCATGGAAGCTGAACTTGCCCCTCCCTGGATCGCCAGGCTGTGAGACTCCAGAGGGCAGGGAAGATGCTTTCCTTAACTCCTTGTCCCCATACTGTCATAAGGGGTCTGCCTGGTGCCAAGTGGGGACTGGGTATGCTGCCTGATTGAGGGAGGGATGGGGTGTATCCGCCAGTGACTGATGGGCTGGCCACAGGGTCCAGGTGGGGCTAAGGTACACCTTCAGGACTCTGGGCTAGAAGCCATGCAGGCTCCACTATCAGGGGACACATCCCTGCCTTCTCCACTCATGCTGAGGTGGTTTAGAGGCTGTTCCTGACACCTGGCCCAAACCAGGGGCTCAGGGATCCCAGTCAACCTGCGGGGCCTTGGCTGCCAATGGGGGGAGATGGGAAGGCACAGGCCAGCTTTCCTGGTCTCAGAGCCCACATGCCCGGGCACCCCACTCCCGCTTAGCCCAGGGTACCCCAAGACATACCCTCCACCTGGATGCTCAGCTCCTGCAGGTCTTGCTCTGACATGTGGGAAAATCTGCAGTTGGAGCCAAAGTCGCACTGGCCTGTGGCAGGAAGACAGTTACTCGCTGCTCAGGAGGGGCTCCCAGTGTGGGCTGAGGGGTACCCTGATGAGGGGTCCCAGAGTCTTAGGGGCAGGACTTCAGGGCCTAAAGAGTAGCAACCCTGATCCGGGACAGAAAATGGAATTTCTCTGGCCCTGCCCACTCAGCAGCCAGGGCAACCTCTCACCCATCACGCCATATGCTCATGATGCTTCTCCAGCTGCCTGCCGTGCTGGGGATCACTTCCAACTGAAGCCTGTCGTGAATGGGCCTCGAGAGCCTTTGCAGAGGTTGTCTTTGTCACCAGCCCTCCAAGCCTCTGCCTCAATGAACTACGTGTGGGTTTCTGAAAGAGCCATGCTTCCTTTCTGTACTCCGAGCCACAGCACGTGCTATGCCCAGCCTAGTATTCTGCCTGCCTACCTGGCTCATGTGAGCAGCTGGACTGCTCCTTAGAAAGCCTTCAGTGGCAGCTTTGCCAAGAAGGTACCAAAATCTGGGGTGGCTTCCCCTATCTCAACCAAGAAGACCAAACTGTGTGTCGAGACTCTGGGAGGCTGGAGGTGTCTCGAGCCAGGGTAACCTACCATTGACATACTCACATCAAGGCAAAGTCTGTAGGGAAGCCCCTGATCTGCAGGCTTGGTGCCCATCTTAGGGGAACTTAGACTTTCACCCAGTTTCCCTAGTTCAGCTGCAGCACTTCTCCCCAGTGTTAAGCTCCCTTAACAAACCATGTGAATCATCACAGTTTTCCTCTTTGCCTTGGCTGCCAGGAAGCTCAAACCCTTAGAGAATACATAGGACCTCAAGGGCAAGCATGGAGGAGAGTAATTATTCTCCTGGCTTTATCTTACTTTTCCTACCTTTATTATCTGTCTTTTGGTTCCTTCACCTACTGAGGTTTTTTATCCCTTTCTCTCTCTTTCTTTAAAAGGGACAGCATCCTCACTCTGTTGCCCAGGTAGGAGTGCAGTAGCGCAATCATAGCTCACTGCAGCCTTGAACTCCTGGGCTCAAGTGATCTTCCTGCCTCAACCTCCCGAGTAGCTGGGACTCCAGTGTGTGCTACCATGCCCAGCTAAATAAAAAAAAAATTTTTTTTGTAGAGATGGGGTGTCGCTATGTTACCCAGGCTGGTCTCAAACTCCTGGCCTCAAGTATTCATCCCACCACAAACTCTCAAAGTACTGAGATTACAAGAGTGAGCCACCATGTTTGGCCCTTTATCTCTCTGACCTATATGTATCTCTATTAGCTGAGTATTGAGCAGTCAGATCCACACCTAGCATCCTTGGTTCTGATCCTGAACCTCCTCAGATCACCAACCTTGTTCCTCTCTGAAGTCCTGCCTGTTGGGAAGGAGGCGGGGGCTCCCAGGCTAACTTAATCAGCAAGTCTGTTCCACCCATGAGTGTCTCCTGGATTCACCTGTAATCCCCCAGGGCTTGCTTGTTCTAGGTGAGCTGATAATAATCAAATTCTAGATCTGAAGAGCTGAGGACCAGTCTCAGGAAGTCCTAAGACACAACTGGAAAGGCCCTGACTGGCCGGTCAGCTGGAGCTGCCACTGCAACGTGGGCTTGGGATGGTGGCCCGGGTCGGGAAAGACACTCTGCAGAGGTCCAAGTGGGCCAGATTGGACACTGCAGGTCCCTGCAGGGACCTGAGCTGTGCAGAGCACTTTACCTGTTAGTAGAAACTTCCGGCAGGGCCGCTTGTTCTGCTCATCCAGCAAGATGGCAGCTGCATCTGCGAGAGAAGAGAGCGGAGGGCTTCAGAGGGCTCAGGCTCCACAAGGGAGGCGGGAGGTGGAAGCCACAGGGGCACAGACTCTTTATCCCAGCACAGCTGTGTGGAAAGAAGAGTTCCCCATCCACAGAGGAAGGAAGCAGGGGATGACCACAGGTGTGAGTCCTGGCAGATAGATCCGAGCCTCAGGTGACCTCAAGCCCTCCCACCCCATGCAGGATCAGCCTAAGGCAAGGACCAGGTTTCAGGCCTGAGGGTCTCAACTTTGTATGAGGGAATCCCCTGGGGAGTCTGGGGACTTTGGATTTTTTGGTTTTTAGAGACAGGGAATCGCTCTGTCACCCAGGCTGGAGGGCAGTGGTGGTGCAATTATGGCTCACAGCAGCCACTACCTGCTGGGCTCAAGCGATCCTTCTCCTCCCAAGGAGGTGTCACTACAGCTGTGCACCACCATGCCTGGCTAATTTTTTGATCTTTTTGTAGAGGTGGTATCTCGTTATGTTGCCCAGGCTGGTCTCAAACTCCTGGGCTCAAACAATCCTCCCATTTTGGCCTCCAAAAGTGCTGAGAATACAGGTGTGAGCCATGGGGCCCAGCCTGGAGGTATATTACTTTTTCTTTTCTTTTTTTTTTTTTTGAGATGAAATCTCACATTGTCACCCGGGCTGGAGTGCAATGGCATGATCTTGGCTCACTGCAACCTCCGCCTCCCAAGTTCAAGAGATTCTCCTGCCTCAGCCTCCCAAGTAGCTGGGCTAATTTTTTGCATTTTTAGTAGAGATGGGGTTTCACTACATTGGCCAGGCTGGTTTCAAACTCCTGCCCCATGATCTGCCCACCTCAGCCTCCCAAAGTGCTGGGATTACAGGTGTGAACCACTGCATTGGGCCAGTATAATACTTTAAAAAATCCTGGCACTATGGAATTTCTCAGTATTATCTTTGCAACTTCCTGTGAATCTATAATTATTTCAAAATAAAGTGCTAAACAAAATTTAAATAAATCCTAGTGCCCAGGAAGCCCACCAGCCAATCCCAGGGTCCAGGCACTGCTCCACAGGTAAGACTGCAATTCCTGGCTTCTGTCTTCCCTCCTTCCACCAGCTGCAGGGTGCTCAGGGCCAGGCCAGCCACCGGCCTGGACAGGACTTCCAACAGTCATTCTGTAGCATCAGCAATCACTGTGCTACTAACCTTAACCCTAGTATCCTCTGATTTTTCCTTTCTTTTCTTTTTTTGAGACAAGGTCTCACTCTATTACCCAGGCTGGAGTGCAGCGGCATGATCTCAGCTCCCTGTAGCCTAGACCTTCCTGGACTCAGGTGATCTTTCCCCCTCAGCCTCCCAAGTAGCTGGGACTATAGGCGTCTGCCACCACGCCTGGCTAATTTTTAAATATTTGTAGAGTTGGGGTTTCGCCATGTTGCCCAGGCTGGTCTCAAACTCCTGGGCTCAAGTGATCCTTCACGTTGGCCTCCCAAAGTGCTGGGATTACAGGCGTGAGCCATCATGCCAAGCCTATCTTTACTTTATTCATGTAGTTTTGGTTTTAAATTTGCTTCTTGGTAGGCAAGCTATCAATCAGTCAAAATCTGTAACAGGGTAAGATACCTGAGGACAGTGCCCTGATTAGAGGGCCTTATATCTACCCCAGGGGAGGGAGAGGCCAGGCCTGAGCTGGACATTCATCCACCATCTTTTCTAGAGGCCAAGGAAAGACCACAGGCTTCAGAGTCCACGAAACCTGAGATCAGATCCTAGCAACACATGACCACGTGAAAGCCGCTTAATCTCCAAGTCTCAGTTTCCCCATATGCCAAATGGGAGGATAATTCCCACCTGGCAGGGCTGCTTTGAAAATGTAATAAGATAGGGCTGGGCATGGTGACTCACACCTGTAATCCCAACACTTTGGGAGGCTAAGGTGGGCGGATCACAAGGTCAGGAGATCGAGACCATCCTGGCTAACATGGTGAAACCCTGTCTCTACTAAAAATACAAGAAATTAGCTGGGCATGGTGGTACGCGCCTGTAGTCCCAGCTACTCAGGAGGCTAAGGCAGGAGAATTGCTTGAACCCAGGAGGCAGAGGTTGTGGTGAGCTGAGACTGCACCACTGTACTCCAGCCTGGGTGACAGAGCAACACTCTTGTCTCAAAAAAAAAAAAAAAAGAGGCCGGGTGTGGTGGCTCACGCCTATAATCCAAGCACTTTGGAGGCCAAGGCGGGCAGATCACCTGAGGTCAGGAGTTCAAAACCAGCCTGACCAACATGGTGAAACCCCATCTTCATTAAAAAAAAAAAAAAGGAAACGTAATAAGAAAATGAATGCAGAGGGTGCAGAGGGCTTTGCAGAGGCAGCCCATGGTTCCCAACCCTGGTGGCACATTAGAATCACTAGGAAAGTGACAAGGTTTGCCTCTGGGACCAGCAGTGGCCTTAGCACCATGTTCTCCAGGTATGTGGCCAAGACTGGGGTGGGTACACAGCAAATGGTGGCAGTTGTTCATTTTTTCCTCACAAACCCTCTGAACAGCACAAACATCCCCATTTTGCAGAGGAGAAAATGAAGGTTCAAATAGGGAAGTGATTTGCCAAGGGCAGCTGGTGGCTGGGAAGTGTGTGGTCTGGTGGGATAAGGAGTTGGTTATCAGAGAACTCACGCCAGGGGGGACCCGTGGAGTGGGGAGGGGTTCATCTGTCAGCACTGGGTTTGTCAGACTCAGTGCACCCAGCTGGTGCTACAGACACCACTGCCTGCCCTTCCCTGAGGAGGTGGGCTAGGGGAGGGCATGTGGACATTGCCCTGGACTCCCCTGAGGTTGGGACAGCCGAGGCTGGCAGCAGGGCTGAGCCTGAGTCCTAGGCAAGGGGCTCTGCCGGATGGCTTGGTGTGGGAGAAGAGTTTCAGGCTGCCTGCGTCTGTTCAGTGGTTCCTGACCCCAGCGACACATCAGAATCACCATGCGGTTTTTAAAGTACATGGACACCCAGCCCCAGCCCTCTCAGGTTCTGCTTTAATTCAACGGAAGGGAGGGCATCCGAATTGTTTAAAGCTCCTCAGTGACTCTGAAGTGCACTCAGGCCCCGCACGTGGAAGTCCGTGCTCTTACAATGGGTATCCAAGGCCCTGCATGATTTGACCCTATTGGTCCTTCCTGTTTCATCTCCCAGAATTAACAGCTGCCCCTAGTGCCCCACATTTCTTTGCTCATTCACTTAGACATTCACCTGCCAAACACTCACTGGGCATGTCCTGTGTGCCAGGCACCACGCCAGGCTGAGGATTTAAGTGGAGAACAAGTCGGAGCTGGTCCTTCCTTCTGGTCTAACAGTCACATTAATCCCCATGAATATAAGCAGGGTAAACATCCAGCTTGTAGCCAAATGATCTGACCTGTCCTAGGGGTCGGGAAGGACGTCCCTGAGGATTTACTGCCTGACTTGAGTTCTGAGTTAGGGGCGGGGGGCCTGGCCTGAGGCAGGGAGGACAGCAGGAAGGGCACGCCTGCAGAGGGGATAGCATATGCCCAGAATATACAGTGGTCAGTGTGGCTGCAGCTGGGAAAGGCTGACAGGAAATGGAGGCCTGGGCAAGACAGAGGCTTTGCCCAGAACACACCATCGTAATTGGGCATAAGCTCGCTAAGGAGAGGGCCCCTATTTTATCTACCTTTGAATCTTTAGAGGCTGCCTGGGAGCCGAGGACACACTGAATGAATGAGCCCATAAGATGAGGGCCAGAGGCAATCCTTTTGAGGACCCGCAGGCACCGTGCCTACTTAGTAAACCATTACATGTCATGCAGTCATCATGAGGTTACTGAGCCCCTGTCATGGCCCTGGGAGGTGGGGACTGCTGCTGTAGCTGTTTTAAACATGACAAAATGAAGGCCACAGTGCTAGTGACTGACACCTGGAGACTGGTGCCCTGCACTTGACCATGGCAGATGGATCATCAGCTCCTCTGAGGGCTAAGGGATGTGCTCTAGGCTGCGAAGCTGGGAGCAGAGCTGAAGTCGAATTCAGTCACAGGGTATATCCCCAAAGTCCCTGCGGTTGCTCAGGGTGAACAGAAGCCCTCAGGCAGCCTCCTGAGGAAGTGGAAAGAGGTCATGTACCAGCTCGGCCCCCAGTAGCTGGGGACCCAAGGCAAGGGAACCCACTGCTCTGGATTTTATTTCATTTATTTTTTTGAGACAGGGTCCCACTCTGTTGCTGAGGCTAGAGTGCAGTGGTGCAATCTCAGCTCACTGCAGTCTCCACCTCTTGGCCTCAAGAGATCTCCTACCTCAGCCCCCTGAGTAGTTGAGACCACAGGCATGGGCCACTACGCCCAGCTAATTTTTTTATTTTTTATTTTTTGAGACAGAGTCTTGCTCTGTTGCCCAGGCTGGAATACAGTGGTGCGATCTTGGCTCACTGCAACCTCCAACTCCTGGGTTCAAGCAATT